GTCCTCCTCCTCCTCTCCTCCTCTCCTCCTCCTCCTCCTCTCCTCCTCCTCCTCCTCCTCCTCCTCCTCCTCCTCCTCCCCCTCCTCTCCTCCTCCTCCTCCTCCTCCTCCTCCTCCTCCTCCTCTCCTCCTCCTCCTCCTCCCCCTCCTCCGGCTCCTGCTCCTCCTCCTCCTCTCCTCCTTCTCCTCCCCCTCCTCCTCCTCCTCCTCCTCCTCCTACTCTTCCTCCTCTTCCTCCTCTTCCTCCTCCTCCTCCTCCTCCTCCCTCCCTGCGCCCACCTTCCCCTTGGCGGGGCACCCGCCGGGGGGGGGGGGAGGGTGGAAGGGAGAGGGGGTCCTCCCCCAACACAATTCAATGTGAAGAGCGCGCCGCCCCAACGAGCGGGGGGGGGGCGCCCGCGGGCGCGGCATTCCGCGACTGCGACTCCGACCGCATGGCCGACTTGTGGCTCAACAGCAGGCAGTGGAGGAGGGGGGTTGAGAGGCGGCAGGGGAGGGAGCAGAAAGGAGGAGGGAGGAGGAGAGCGTGAGGAGAGAGGGGAGAGGGAGGAGATAGGGAGGGGAAAGGGAGGAGACAGGGAGGAGGGAGGGAGGAGAGAACGGTCGGGGAGAGGGAGGGGAGAGAGAGGAGAGAGAGAGGAGGGAGGGATACGGGAAGGAGGGGAGCACGGGGCGGGGAGAGGGAGGAGAGAAGGAGAAAGGAGGAGGAGAGGGGGGAGAGAGGGAGGAGAGAGAAAGGAGGGAACGGTACGATGGAGGGGGAGGAGGAGGAGGAGGAGGAGGAGGAGGAGGAGGAGGAGGGAGAAGAAGAAGAGGAATAATAATAATAAGAATAATAGGAAGAAACATAATAATACGAAGAAGACGAAGACGAATAATAATAATAATAAGAAGAATAATCAGAAGAGTAATAAGAAGACGAATACGAAGAAGACGAATAATAATAAGACTAATAATAAGAATAATAAGAATACGAATAGTAAGAAGAGGAGGAGGAGGAGGAGGAGGAGGAGGAGGAGGAGGATCAGTGTCAACCAAAGAGCTAGCAACGATGTTGGAATACACCGTCTCACCAAAACTCCTTCTTTATAGGCCCCTACCGCGGTTCATTTCCATTGATGGAACTGCCTCGTTGGAAGGCGCCCTTGAAGACCCTGAAGCATGCCAAAACATGGTCTTCGGGATTTCAACGCAACGGGTCAACCTGGCTGCTGCTTCTTGACGATCATGAGCCGTGCCATCACGCCATATTTGGGACTTCAGCACCGCGAAACAATGTAACTGTTGCACCCGCATAGTCCTGAACCCTTCCAAACCATGGTGCGTTGATCATGGGACCCGTGCGACCCTTTTCACATGTTTATGAACGAATGTGCGCGGACACAAGGCGAGGGTCATCTTTTGAAAAGGAACCGCCCTCAACCCGTGAAGCTCTTGCACATGTTTAAAACGAATGTGCGCGGCGCTAGGCCGAGAACCGCATTTTGAACAGGAGCCGCCCACATTCAGCGAATCTCCCGCAATGTTTTATAACGAATGCGCGCGGCACTAGGGCGAGCACCACATTTTGAAAAGCACCCGCCCACAACCGTTGAAACTCTTGCAACTGTTCAAAACAAATGTGCGCGGCGCTTGGGCGAACACCACATTTTGAACAGGAGCCGCCCTAAATCCATGAAGGTCTTGTTGGACATGTTCAAAATGAATGCGCGCCGCGCTACGGCGAACACCACATTTTGAAAATTACCCGCCCTCAATCCGTGAATCTCTTGCAACTTTCCCCCAGCAGTCCTGTGTTGGGTCCTCGTTTTGAAGGGGCAGCGCCCCGCGTCTCATTCTGTCTCATTCTCCTCTTCCTCCTCCCTCCTCCCCCTTCTCCCTCTCCCCCCCCCTCCCCCTCCTTGTTTTGGCTCTCCGCATACCCCTGGTTCACCACACCCCTCACGCGTTCCGTGACCTCATATGGAGCTCCTCCTAAGGTCTCAGTGGCGCAGCTCGCGTGGCCCCCCCGCCTCATGTTGGCACACCACTCGCACGCTTCGTGGCCCCATCTGGAGCCCTACCTACGGTCACAGTTGCGAAGCTCGCATGCAGCCGCCGCCTCATTTTGGCACACCCCTCACACGTTTCGTGGTCCCATAGGGAGTTCCACCTAAGGTCTCAGTGGCGCAGCTCGCATGACGCCGTCGCCTCATTTTTGGCACACCACTCACACGTTTCGTGGCCCTCCAGAAATGGCCCCAGAGGCGCAGCTCGCATGCCGCTGCCGCCCCATTCGTGCACACCTCGCACACGTTTCGTGGCACCATGGGGGCTCGTCCTGAGGCTTCAGTGGCGCAGCTTGCATGCCGCCGCCGCCCCATGTTGGCACACCCCTCACCCGTTTCGTGGCCCCCAAAGGAGCACCACCCAAGGCTTGGCGCCGCCGCCCCATTCAGGCACACCTCAAACTTTTCGTGGCCCCATAGGGAGCTCCACCTAAGGTCCCAGTGGCGCAGCCCGCCGCACCATTTTCGGCACACCTTCACACGTTTCGTGGCCCTCCAGGGAGTTCGAACTAAGGTCCCAGTGGCGCAGCTCGCATGCAGCTACCCCCCATTCTGGCACACCCATCACACGTTTCGCGGCACCATAAGGAGCTCACCCTAAGGCCACAGTGGCGCAGCTCGCATGGCGCCGCCGCCCCATTTTTGGCACACCCCTCGCACGTTTCGTGGCCCCATAGGGAGCTCCACCTAAAGTAACAGTGCCGCAGTCCGCCTGGCCCTGCGGCCTTATTTTGGGGCGCGCCAGGGAACCTCACCCAAGGCCCCAGTGGCACAGTTCGCATGTAGGCGTCGCCCCCGTTTTGGCACACCCCTCACACGTTTCGCTGCCCCATAAGGAGGTCAACCTAAAGGCCCCAGTCGTGCAGTTCGCATGTGTGCGTCACCCCCGTTTCGGTACACCCTCACACGTTTCGTGGCACCATGAGGAGCTCACCCTGAGGCCACAGTGGCGCAGCTCGCATGGCGCCGCCGCACCATTTTTGGCACACCATTCACACGTTTCGTGGCCCCCTAGGGAACCCCACCTAAAGTCACAGTGGTGCAGTCCGCATGGCCCTGCGGCCTTATTCTGGGGCACGCTAGGGAACCTCACCCAAGGCCCCAGTGGCACAGTTCGCAGTCGTGCAGTTCGCATGTTTGCGTCACCCCCGTTTCGGTACGCCCCTCACACTTTTCGTGGCCCCATAGGGAGCTCCACCACCGAAGGCGCCAATGGCAGTGCTCAGACGTGGGCGTCACCCCCGTTTTGGCACACCCTTGACATGTTTCGTGGCCCCATAGGGGGCTCCACATAAGGTCCCAGTGGCAGTGCTCACATATGGGCGTCACCCCCGTTTGGGCCCACCCTTCACACGTCTCGTGGGCCCATACCGAGCTCCACCGAATACGGTTCTCACAACTGCGCTACTCACAACTGCCTCTGGTTGGGTCCTTCGCCAGAATATTTGAAACGAATGTTTGCGGCACTAAGGCGAGAGCTACATGTTAAAACCACCCGTCCTCCATCTGTGAAGCTGTTGTCAATTTTTTAGCTTCAGAGTCAGACGTGGTGAGGAAATCTCAGGCGAAGCGCCCAGACCTGCCAAAAAACTGGCCTCGGGGTGCGACAGGGAGAAGTTATTTATAAAGAAAAGGAGTGGAGGAGAAGGAGGAGGAGGAGGGGGAGGAGGAGGACCAGTGTAAACCCAAGTGTCATCAACGATGTTGGAGTAAATCCTTCCTCCAAGCTCCCTCTTCATAGGCCCCTTACAACGGCTCATGTCCATTGATGGAACTGCCTCGTTGGAAGACACTCGTTTGAAGACCCTGAAGCATGCCAAAACATTGTTTTCGGAATTACAACGCCACGGATCAACCTGACTGTTGCGTCTCGACGATCCTGAATCGTGCCAGAACGCCATTCCCAGGACCAACGTAACAGTTGCACCAGCGAAACGCCCAGACAGGCCTACAAATTGGCCTCGGGGTGACCCGGCGGGGTGCGACATGACAATTATTTATACGGAAAAGGAATGGAGGAGGAGGAGAAGGAGGAGGAGGAGGAGGAGGAGGAAGAGGAGGAAGAGGAGGAGGAGGATGAGGAGGAGGAGGAGGAAGAGGAGGAAGAGCATGATGATGATGATGATGATGATGATGATGATGATGATGATGATGATGATGATGATGATGATGATATGATGATGATGATGATGATGCTGATGCTGATGCTGATGCTGATGATGATGATGATGATGATGATGAGAAGGAGGAGGGAGGAGGAGGAGGAGGAGGAGGAGGAGGAGGAGGAGGACAGGAGGAGGAGGAGGATCAGGATAGGGAGTAGGAGGATATGGAGGAGGAGGAGGATAGGAGGAGGAGGAGGAGGAGGAGGAGGAGGAGAGGAGGAGGAGGAGGATAGCGAGGAGGAGGATAGCGAGGAGGAGGATAGCGAGGAGGAGGATAGCGAGGAGGAGGATAGCGAGGAGGAGGATAGCGAGAGGAGGATAGCGAGGAGGAGGAGGGGAGAGGAGGAGGAGAAGAGGAGGAGGAGGAGGAGGAGGAGGAGGAGGAGGAGGAGGAGGAGGAGGAGGAGGAGGAGGAGGAGGAGGAGGAGGAGGAGGAGGAGGAGGAGGAGGAGGAGGAGGAGGAGGAGGAGGAGGAGGAGGAGGAGAGGGTTTCGGCTGAGGAGGCTCCTGCACCTTTTTGTCTTGAAACCCTAAGCGGCGCCACTGCCGTGGCCGCGTACAAGATTCCCTTAGTTGGCGATTCCAAGCATAGGCGGGTGCGCGCCGAACGAGCGCGGAACAGAGCACTGCTGAGGGTGTACAAGGCAGGTCTAGCGTTGCGCATCCATCGCGCAACCCCAAGAGATCGGACGTGGCAGTGTCCCTCATGTCACACACACATCTTCCAGTTTCTCAGGCAGTAGGTGGATGCGGGTACAACTGGTACTCGCGCTCCAAGTCGCAGCCCATGCAGTCAAGGGAGAGGTCCAAGAGCAGAGACCCCTGGAACAAAGGCGACAGGGATACTGTGAACCAGCTCGTGGCGAAGATTGCGCCAGCTACTCCAGAAGTGGCAAGGTCGGAGGCCTGCAAGAATGCCTACGTGAAGGCGCCCCCGGCAGAGCAGAAGGATGCAGTGAACAAACATCGCGAAGAGGTCAAAGAGAAGATTCGCAAGATCGGCATCCTTATCAAGGCTGCTGCTGCAGCGGATCGCCCTGCGAACGACGCGGACTGCAAGGAGATAGCGGTGCTCAAATACATGCTGACGGAAAGTTCAGGATCAGAGAACCTGCTGTCCGAGGTCAAAATACAATTGGACAAAGGAGCAGGGCCATCTGCGCGAGATACAGCAGAAGGAGGCGGAGGTGCGCGAGAGGCGCATCCAGCTCGAGGAAACCATTCGCAACATCCAGGAGACGATCGACCAGCTGACGAAGTCGAAGGACGAGGGTGGCACGGCCGAGAGCGCCGATACGGAGATGCACAATGCAGAGGAGGGCGTTGGCAGGGCGCCTGGGGACCTTCATGCAGGCCTTGGGAGAGAGGCAGCAGCATCTTCAGTGGCGCCAAAGGCAGCTGCGGCGGGCCACGCCGCGCCAGCTGTGCCAGAGAGCTCCAGAGAGATGGACTCGATCAAGGAGTGCCTCCAGCGCCTGACCGCAGCGCAGGTGCAGCAGCAGAACCAGCAGGAGGCCATGATGAGGCAGATTGGCAACTTCCGCGGCCACCTGATGGACGAGGTGCGCATGATGATGAAGGCTGCCCCCTGGACAGCTCAGGGGCCGCGGGTGCCACGGCAGGAACCAGGGATGGGGGGGTCAGCCATCACCGACGCCGCTGCAGGCAGGGCAAGTGCCAGGCATATCGCCTACATCCACGGCTGCGTCTACCCCCCCCTGGATACCCGAACCTGTACGAGCAGATGTGGGCAGAAAGGCAGGCGGCGGGCATGGGGTTTCGGCAGGCCCCGAGTCCAGCGGACGCGGGGATATTTTGGGATCCAAGCACGACCCCAGCCGACTCGGACGCTGCGGAGTACCAGCACCAGTTGAGGATGGCCAGGTTCCACCCGATGTACCCCAGCCAGTCAGCACAGAGGTCGCCGACGTTTCCTTCGGCGCCCTTCACGCCCGCGCAGCCGCAGATGGAGCCCGAGACGCCTGCGATAGCGCCTTGGGATTGCCCGACCCCGCAGTACGACGTCCTGTGCACGCCGAAGGCCCCAGCGGGTGGCCCGTCTCAGGACGAGCCTCCGACGATCAGGGTGCCAACCTCCGCGTGCACGACGGATGCGTGCGACAGGGCCTTCGCCCAGATGCAGAACCCAGCGGCGGCGGCTGCAGCACCGTCGCCAGCAGCGACGGCGGCAGCGGAGCTGGCCCAGGCTTTCGCTGCAGCGAGCTTGGGAGGACCGAGCGGAGGGGGTGTGCACGCACCTCAGGGCCCAGCGGCTCTGCAGCCTGCGCCCGCGACCCCTGCGGCCAGGAGGCCACCGGTTACGCCATCCACGGTCCCACCAGGACAGCCTTCGCCAGTCCCGCACCAGCCTGGAGGCCTGCAGCAGCCGCGCGAGTCACCGAGGGCGAAGGAGGCCGAGCCAGCGGCCGAGCCTGCGGGATCGCCGAAGAGAGAGAGAGAGAGAGAGAGAGAGAGAGAGAGAGAGAGAGAGAGAGAGAGATCTCGAGGCGGATTACCAAGGAGAAGGAAGACCCGATGGAGAACGAGCAGAAAGGCAGCACCCACCCGCACAGAGGCAAGGGCGGCAAGGTGGTGATGGTCAAGGACAGGCCAGGGGCGGACAAGGGCTGGGAGACGATCGAGGAAGAGGACGCCTCCATGCCGTATCCGCAGCAGCCGTCCCGGATGTCGCCGACGCAGCCCTTTGCGCAGCCCGAGCAGGTGGAGGAGCTGGCAGGGCCCGCCTTCTCGGTGACAGCGACGCCAGCGCCGACGCCTACGATTACGGGCTTACCAGGGACACCTCACTGCGTACAGCCGACACCGTGGCCCGCGCCGCCGCAGCCAGCGGTTGCGACGTCACCGGTGTTGGTGGGGGCGTCGCCGACCCCAGTGGCAGAGATGGTCGAGCCTTCGCAGTTGTCATCGCAGGAGATCAAGCAGCAGGTGGGGGCGATCGACCGCGCTGTGGCAGCGCAGGGGTGTTCGGCTTCGGCAGCGTCCAGCGGGGTAGCCGCGGCGGACTACAAGACGACGGTGGACGAGCGCGTGGAAGGCAGGTCGCCACCTCAGAAGTTGCAGCGGCAGGCGGACGTCATCGAGGAGTAGTTGGCTTTTCGTCGCCTCTGTGGGGCGCAGCGCTCGCCGACACGCACTGCTCACCGCCCCGCCACAGCCAGCGCAGCGGAGGTCGACCCGCACAGCTGGCAGGTGGCATCGGCGGCAGAGGGTACCGATCGGCGAGCGAGGATGTGGATGTGGTTGGGTCAGTTTACCGCGTCACACAGCAGCCTAATTTGGTCAGCGAAGTTCTCGCATCGTGGCCAGGTCAATCTTTCTTTGCAGACAATTTGGAGGACGAGTTCAGCTCGGTGCAACAGCAGGCCCGTGCTTCAGGTAGTGGCGGTGACGGCCATGGTGAAGGTGGGCCCCATGAGAGCCCCAGCTGCCACCCGCACTTTGGACCTTCTGGAGAGTTCGGAGGGCTACTGATCTCCGACTCCTCGTTCACATTGCTCTACCGACGGTTTGTAGAGTTATCATCTGCCTGGGCTATTGAGGCGCACATAATTGGCGAGGAGGCCGCACATGCTAACTTCTTGTACTGGGCAGTCCCAGCCGTTGTGCAGGAGATCTTCTCTCACCCAGTCTACGACCCCATGTGGAATCCCTCAGCTCGGAGGTCACCTGAGGTCACCGAGAGGATGCGGCAGTTCGCTACACGCATGTTGAATAAGATCTGGCGCGGAGGGGCTGTAGAGAGGCGGCGGTTCGCTATCCGTTAAGCTAGGGTGTGGCACGATGAGTCGCCTCAAGAGTGGGGCAAATCCCTCAATCGCATGTGCGAGGAGGTGTTCGTCGCGAGGGAGCGCTTGATGGCCATGGGGGATCAGTGCCACCCCCCCAGACGCGCACAGCATCAACGAGGAGCTGATCGTCGCTTTCGCGAGGCAGATCGCGGAACACATCAACCAGAATAGGCCCCCGGTGGTGCCATTCTACGACCCGACGCTCCCTGGCATGGAGGATGCGATCCTCGCAGGCGCGGCTGCGACGGGAGCGTGCACGGGGGGTGCCAGCGCCTCCTCTGGCAGCAGCGGGGCAGCCGCAGCACTTGCGAGGCCCCGAAGCGAGGAAGGGCATCATGACGCCCAGTCCTTGCTGCAAGTGGGTGTGAGGTGCGCACCGCAGAGGGCGGCTTGCGCTACCTCGCGGAGGGCATCTTCAGCATCGGCTTCCAGCACTCCGTCGCTATACTCACCCTTCCCCCTGGGTTTGGCAGAGAGCGCGCATGGAGCTGATGAACGGTCGTCCCCGTCGCTACTCTCACCCTTCCCCTCGGGCTGGGCAGAGAGCGCGCATGAAGTACCTCCTCGTGCTTCATCACGGGTGGCGACTCCGTGCAGGCTGGCTTCCTTGTCGACTGGGAGTTCGGCAGGGGAGAGTGCTGTCAGTGCTCGGCCTGCTTGCGTCCCTGATGCGAGCACTAGTGTGCAACGCGAGTGCATTTTGCAGACAATTTGGAGGAGCGGCAGCTTTACGATCCTGCCAAGCGCGTCATTCGTTTGGTGAGGCTGCCCCCCGCACGTTCAGTGCAGGAAGCTGCGCCGCAGCGAGCGGCGGAGCCAAGGTTTTACGTCCAGAGAGGAACGCGCGTGGTTGGGCAAGTCGGCCACGGCACCTCTCAGACGCCTGTTTTTGGTGAGGGACTGCCCTCGCGTACTTGTGCAAATTCGAGCAAGCCGGGTAAAGGCTGCTCCACTGATAAATGTTCTAGCGTCTCTCACAGTTGTGCAAGATACGCGGGGTGGTAGCCAGCGCAGCCAGAATGCCAGTGCCGAGCCTGCCGATCATGGGGGCCTGAGCGCAGCTGTCGGAGGGGGAGCGGGGCCCCACGTGCGCAGGGAAGGGATGCCCAGCAGTGAGGTGCACACTTGCCCCCTTGGAGTCCGTGACCCCCTTCTCCAGAGAGCCGCCCCACGGTTGAGTCACCTGCAGTTGCAGTCAGACTTGGAGGGGATCAGGTTGCATCGTAATGCCCGATCTGCTTTGAAGCTCGCCCCTGCGAGGGAGATGAGTCGGCTCGAGAGCGTCGTCCTGCGCCCTGACGGGCCCCTGTCGGTTCACGCGGGGTTAGAACCAGCGTGGGGGCTTGCGGTTGTTGGCCAGGACGAGAACGGTTTCGCTTTTCCCGGGTTCGCTGGACAGAAACGTGGGGGGTCAATCCCAGGGGAGCTCATAGGCAGCAACAAGTCGAGCACTGTTGTGGAACTGGCTGGAATGGTATGGGCGATGCTCTGCGCCTCATGTTTCCCAGCCGACGTTCATGTCACCATCGAGGTTGATAATAAAACGGCTCTCAAGCTCACAGTCGGCGAGTACACATCTAAGGAAAATAACGCTCTGGCAAGGGTCCTCAATCTGCTGTATGAGGAGTTCTGCAGGAGAGGAAGGATTGTGCGCAAGCATGTGCGAGCGCACCGAGGCCAGCCATGGAATGAGGTGGCTGACTGTATAGCTAAGCATATGTCTAAGCACCCGCCACCCGAACCCCCAGGTGAGCTTGCGCAGTTGCTCAGCTATGAGCGTGGCCGCGAATGGGCGTGGGATGCGTCGCCGGGCAATCCTGACCGACACGCCTATCCCCCGATGGGGGCCAGCGGATTCGAGTTCCACCGTGAGGCCCCAAGTGGCCAGATGGAGCATCAGGAGCAGAAGTGCGGAGAGAAAAATGTTAAGGCCCGAGTTGGCTTCACTGCGGCCACTTTCAATGTGCCCACTCTCAAGGATGCGGAGGAGGGGTACTGTGGGAAGAAGGCCGCTAAAAAGAGAGAGGCGGCGGCGGCCAGAGCTGCGCGCCACAGAGCCCAGCTCAGGCAGTTAGGGTGGCTGTTCGTGGGGGTGCAAGAAAGCCGTGCGCCCAAGCGACGCAAGGTCGCGGAGGATTTCTTGGTCTTGTCTTCGGGGCCTGAAAAGGGGAGTCTTGGGTGCGAGCTCTACGTCAATTTGCAAGCTGTGTACGCGAAGGTTGGCGAGGTTGAACATCGGGTCCAACCCCAGCAGGTCCGCGTGCTGTATTCAGACCCCCGCGCCCTCCTCGTGGCTGTGCAGGCCAAGCTTTTCGACGAAAATGTTGCTGCGTTGCGTGCCCCACGCAGTAAGCGCAAGCCGGAGGTGCGCAAGGCGTGGTGGGCACACGCACGGCAGTTGATGGCGCGATGGAAGCCGACCATCCTGCTTGCTGATGCGAATGCCCGCGTCGGCAGCGTTGAGGACGAAGGGGTGGGGTGGGGGTGTGTGTGGTTTGCAGCAGAAGGAGGATGATGACGGAGGAGACTTTCGGGAGTTGCTTGATCTTGGGGGCCACGTGGCTCTCAACACGGTCTTGCCTCACGAGCAGGGGTGCACTTGGGTGTCGCATGCTGGCGCCGGACGCCGGTTGGACTATGTGACCACCAGTGTGGCTTGGCGACAGTACGCCAAGAAGGTCTGGGTGGATTACGCTTTTGATTCGCAGCGGCTCAAGGATCATCACTTCCTTGTCGTTTGTAGGTTTGCGTATCAGGTGGCCAAACAAGTGAAGACTCATGGGGCCCCCGTATGGATCCCCATAAGTTGTCCGACCCTGAGGTCAGGGGTACCTTCGCTCGGGAGCTCGACGAACGGCCGGTGTGCACGTGGGAGGTCGGCGCTGAGGAGCATTGTGTGGCGGTGACTGAAACCATGTTAGACGCGGCTAAGAAGCACTTTGGCCAGGACCCCTTTACCCCCTTCAAGCCGTATGTCAGTAGGCAGGTCATGGGGCTTGTTAGGCTCCGCAGGTGGGGGGTCAAGGTTATCCGAGGAGTTAGGCAGGGCAACTGGGACATTGCGCGTATCTTTGCGTGGTCTTTTGGGCCGCGAATCTCAGACTTTGCGCAGGCGCAGTGCGAGTGGAGCCTCCACGCGTGCTACCTGGAGGGAATTTGCTCACAGGTTGTGGCGACCGTGTTGCCAGTTGAGTGCCTGGTTGATGCTATCCACTTTTTCCTTGGCCAGACCCGGCAGGTGCTGCGCGACTGCATCACGCGAGATCGCATCAGTAAAGTTGAGGACCTGGCGCAGGAAATGATGAGTCGTCGTGGGAGCGGGGGCGATAACAA